GGTCATTTTTATGTAGGGCAAGTAACAGGAAAACAGTTTGACACCCAGCACTGTTCACCTGCACAAACCCTGTGAGAAAAGGTGGGAAGGCGGAGCACACAGGTGAAGGATAAGTCATCACAACCCAGGGATGGCTTTACCTCATTCATCCCTTCAATAGTCAGGTGAGGTTGGAGAACTGGAAGTTAAATGAGGAGTTCGGGGAAAGGATCAGTCAACAGATAACGAGTCACAAGATTCCAGCAAAGATCCCTGAAAGTTTTGTTTTCATAACATGATTCAAACATCATGCTTTGACCACTGATAGCACATACAAAACATACAGCAGCTCAAGCTACATAATGGTTCACACCAAATAATAAAACCATATGAGCCTGTCCCTGAGCTTCCATGTGAATCTGTGCATCAGTTTCCTGCGTGGTGGTCCTCGTTCCTCGCTAAGGTCTCCTAATGAAAACACTGCTGTGTACATGCCTCTGTGAACAGGGTTTCATCCCACTGGGGAGATTTGTTGGTGTAGAAAAAAGATTTTCAGTTTTCTTTGGAGTGAGCGTTGAAATTGAAACGTTGATGGTTCTTTCACCTCATCGCACACAAAAATGAAAATCGTGTTCAAATAAAGAAGGAAACATGAACACGATATAAATAAAAGCTGTGCCTCTGCATGTGTTACTATCTGACCATGGCTGAAATATAATTTTCAAACCAGCATGCATTGCCTCCGTGTTTGTGTACTCTTGGACTATATTTACGAGGACCATTTAAGGAACTCTTCCAGGTTAAACTTGGTTTGACGTGATTTGGACGTTTTACTTCTGAATGGATTATTTCAGCTGAATCTGCCAGCTTGTAGGAGACATTAATATACTCCCAACTCCATCCTATGTGTGTGCTGCTTATGTTTTCACCTTTACGCTCTGTTTAAATTAAAAACCAGAGTGTCAGCCTAAGCAGCAAACTCCAATAACTCAAATTAATTAAACAAGGGATTTGTAAGTAAATTAATCATGGAGTCTCTCCAAGAGTGGAAGGAAATTAATACAACAGACAAACATGTTCCCAGTTTCACACTAATGTCAAATAAGTTACCTAAAGCCTGCAAGGACTTAATTTTAGGTTTTTAATTGAATATTTGTTTAGAACTGGGAACTTTTATCTCTATTTTCACTAGCAGGAACCACATCCTTGGTAACGATGAGAGATGAGGGATGAGGAAGTGTGAATAGTGCTGTGGTTTGGGGAAGGCCTTGAAGGGGACTGGCGACGGCTCTCGGTCCAGGCAGATTCCCATGTACTAATGAGAAATAAATGGAGGAAAGGAAGAGAGGAGAGGAGAAGAGAGGAAAGAAAAGGGGGGGCAGGGTGGGGCATAAAAATGAGAACTGCAGGTATTGGAGAAGGGGGGTTTTATAGCCTGAGGCCAGAGGGGGCGTGAAGGAGGAGTGGTCCCGCTCCTGAAATTCAGATGATATCTCCACTACAATTACACATATTAGTGCATCTCAAAAGATTCAACATAATAAGGAAGTTTGTTTCTCCTACACTTTAGTAAATTCTGTATTTGTAACATTTTATTTAATACAGTATCTCCCAAAAAAGAATATTTGGGTCTAGTTTGGTGTACGTAACCAGAATCATTGGCGATGATCATCGACGCTCCTCAACAAAGGTATCTTAAAGCTTGTTATAGGAAAGTTGAGTGGGAGGGAAACATGTGAGAGGAGTTTCTAGAAAACTGGAGGTTCACAAGGAGTGGACAAAGGCCTGTGTAGGTGCACTAAGAGCCACACCACATCTGCAGGGAAAGAGTTGTAGCTGCCCCTGATGCCAAGCCCCTCCTGAACCAGAGACAATCTTTTGAAATATCAGACTGGCTTTATTTCAGAAAAACATGACAGCTCTTTTATAGAAAGACAGAAAATATTTCTCACTTTTCATGCACAACACACATCACATCTCTTTTTTTAAAGACATCAGCTCTTTTCACAATATTCATGACACCGGGCTGTTTGTCACAACTCCAACATGCTGCTGTGTCCCACTTCACACCTGATGGTTTGTTTTTGATACACACTGTGGTTTAAAACTAAAAGATGTGACATGATCTTGGATGGATTATGAAGAAACGGGCTCTTCAGGAAAGGAAACTCCCACAAACCTCCAGAAACCAGACACAGATGGTATTATGAGGCGTTTCAGTGTTGGGAGAGTCAGACTGGAACATTGTGCCTTAAGGCATTAAGGCAACAACCGATTGGTTTTAGGTCAGACTTTTCGTTCAAAATATTGTAACTCTTTTTGCATTGGAATTATTTCAGTTGAGCGAAAGGTTCAGGACAGATGTTAAAAAAACATTGCAAAACACATATCTGATGCCAGAGACAGGTTAGGGATCTGTCACTACAGACTTCTCATGTGCCTGCAATGCCTTAAACCTACTCAGGAAGTGAAAGCATTAGTAGAAAGATACTGTAAATAAGTCAGAAAATACTGAATAAAGTGCAAAGACTCAGAACTACAGTCTTAATGTCTCCATCACTGCTCAGACGTCCTGGTTTTTTTGACTTGTGTCTTTATGGTTCTGTTGTTTACTTTTTTTATAAATGCTCTTACCCGGGATAGACAAGAGACCTACTCAGTATTCCATCCACCTGTGATGGTGATGGTGAGGGGTTGCACACAGTACTTTCACAGACAACAATACAAGACTAACAGTGACAAAAAGCCACCCATACAGATGTTTCAGCTGTTCTGGATTTTACTGCATCCGTTCAGATTCACTAAAAATCTTTCAGTGATCCAGCTCTAGTTAAAGGAAACATAAGAGACTTTTAATGACTGTAAGATTTACTTTTTCCACATATTAAATTAAACTCGGCCAGAATTTAGGATTTCCCATGTTCGGCTGACCTGCTCTGTCCTGATTTACATGCTGAGACAGAAATCAGTGGGAAGCAAACAAACTCTGTTTCACCTTTCATAGGTAACAATTTACATACTATAGTACAACCAACTAACCTGCTAAGACCAATAATAAGCCTATTGTGCTAATTTGGCCTCAGGTTGTTTTTCAGATTTTATTTTCAAATGTAAGAACTGTAAAACTCTACATAGCAAACACGTTCATGCACTTTGTGGCTTCTAATTGTTCATGCTTTCGAGTCATTATCACCCCTAGACACCTTTAAACCAACAAATAATCTACATGTCCTGCTTTTTCAACCATATTTATCTTTTCTGAAGTATTAAATCTGGAAGCTTTTTGGAAGTCGAATTTCCCAGAGGAACCCACCCGAGGGATTAATAAAGTTCTATCTTATCTTATCTTATCTTATCTTAAATCTCGACAAGGCACCTCAGCGAGGCTCCTTCAGAGAGCCCACACCCAGCTCTCTGCAGCTCCGGGGGACATCACATCTCATGTAGCATTAAATGAAGTTTGCAGAGTGTGAGGAAGAAATCAATATCGATCTATACCAGAGGTTGACAGCTTCTTCTCTTCACACAATTCACCCTGCCTGAAACTCCTCCTTTGTGAAGGAGCCTAAGATTGGACAAGAGCAGATAAATGCTCCCCGTTTGTGTTAATAGTCTTTGTGTCTCTGTTGTAGCTCAGCTTTGATTGCAGGGACGCCGTTAAAGCTAACCTTTGCAGCTTTTCAGCTCTAGAGGTGTCACAGAGACATTTTCTATAAGTCCTTTCCTGCCTCTGTTGGGAAACAACAGAGGCAGGAAAAGATCCAGGCTAGGAAAGCTCAAAAGAGAAGATAAGGAGAAACACAAAACTTTCAACCAGAAGTATCAGGTTAGTGTTTAATGCAGCTGAATTTACCAAAGGATTGTGAAGCTTTCACAACAGTAAACATGTTGTGATACCACAGACGTGCTGATGTTAGTGCCTTTCTAAAGACATCAGTAGTTTTAAGAGGTCACCTCCAGGTGCCGAGCTAAATGTTGTTAGTAGATTTATAAGATTCTTCCAGCCTTTGAACCAAGTGGTTTAAAAACATTAGGATTAATCAGTCAACTTGTGGAAGAATAATCAAAAAGTGTTGAAAAAGTTCACTGTATCATAAACCTTTTACACAAAGATTCAGATTTTCTCTTCCTTTAGTGTCTCGTTGTTTAAAGATTTGCCTCTTTTATCTTCAACACAACAGGACGTCAGCAGAAGTTATGATTTTGGATTTCTATTAATAATAATATTAGTTACAGCCTACAACCATCTTATCTTTTATATTACTACACAAGCATAAACAAATAAAACAGAAGCTATATTTTTTACAGGGAATTAAATTGCTTTGGCAAAGTTTCTTCACGTTCATGTTAAAATGTTGAGCACAGTCACTCTCAAACGACATGTCAGTGAGCTGTGCTTTAGCAGATGCTAGCTGTTTCCATCTGCTTGCAATATTAATAATAAGCTATGCTGAGCACCTCGTGACAGAGACTGATACTGGACTAGATCCACAGAGCTTCCAAAACTATTTCTTTAAGTTCCTGTTAATATTTCTACATGTTTTCATAAAATAGTAAATGTAAAAAAAAGATTATGTAAGGTTATTTAACTAAACTTTGGTATCTGCTGTTATATTTAGTGGAACAGATGTGATCATTAGCATCAAGCCCTACTTTAAAATGTCTGCCCACAACGGCTCAGCCCACATGTGGAGGATGCTTGAATAATTCCTTGAGACGTGTGGTCGGCTCAGTGGCACACACATCTCCCTCAGAGCGGCTGATTTTCACCGATTTCATTAGAAACTGTCGGCGAATCGCCTGGAGGAGAGCAGCAAGCCTCTCCAGTTTTCTGGTGCACCAAGGCCAGATAGTTTTGCTTCCTTAGTTTCTTTTCTGAACCTTTGAGCAGTGGAAGGTTGGGCTTGTTGTTCTACTCTGCAAAGCCAGAGCTAATCACACCACAACCAAACAGTCACTGACTGCAAAAATGAGCTTTCTTCAAATGATTTCACTGTTTTTATTTTGTTGATTATCCATAACCCACACGCAGACACTGTGGGGCACATGTCACTGTTTCTCTCTAGCTCCCATGATGTTATTGAGGCTGTCAGAGGAACAGTTTGTGTTTTTAAAGCAGATTATATTAAATTCTTTGTAACCAGTATTCTCTTCAAATCCAATCACGCCAATCTGGCGAACAACAGTTAATCATGAAGCCACGTTTTCTTACACCTCCTACAAATCTTTTCCCGAGCCATTTGTAATCCCGTCCCAAAATAACATATTAGGAAGGCTTGAAGAATGAAATAATCTCCAGCAAGGTGTGCGTTAAGGGATTCATATGCATATCACAAAAGCCACTGGAGGCTTCTTTGTGCCAGATGCCTCTGCACAGACCTCCCCGTGGGCACGAATTTCTACTGGAGGTAGAAATAATAAAAAAGTATTCACAGTGCGATCTGTGGAGCCAAGACGCTTTTCAGGGGAAGCGCCACAGTAAAACTAAGTGCTGTCATCAAATTACAGGTGTTCTGTCAAGATGATCAATCTCAGATTGTTAGGTGTACTGAACTGCTCATTTTCATTCTACTCTGCTGGTAAATAAACTTCCTTATGGATGAAGAAGAGACATCAATATTAAAGCCACCCGACCCTGCACCCAGTCATAGTCAAATGGCACAAAAAGCCTCATAAATAAGTCTTAGATAGTCTTAGATACATCTCTGGGAAAAAGCCTTCTTAAGCTAGCCTGAAGAACATCCTTGCTCGGTCCAGTCATTGTAATAACACTGGTGTGATGACAAGTGAAGAAAAGGTACTTTCACTTAAGCACGTTATGCTGTGTGGTGCGTGCTACCTGAATCACAGTCCATAATTACATCAAGCCTCGACATGAACTGAAATCAACATTAAAATTATTTTAATTATTTCTCCAGCGGACTTTGAAACGTCAAATAAAAATTCTGGAAACAATGAGAACTTCACAAAGCTTGTTTAGTGCAACCAGAACTTAAAATCATTGTGTCACTGAAGAAGGACTCAAAAGTGAAATAAGTGGAAATCAGAACTATAAGGCTTCAAATTATAATGTCTCATTTTTTGCAGCTGTATTTAATTGTATTCATACTGTGTAAACTTGTAATTACTTGTATTTGAAAACATCTTGTTTTATAATATATAAAGCAAAAAGAAACCTTTTTTAATGTACCTAGCTGACAAAAAAAAGCATAAAATGAAAAATAAATACAAGTGTTTAAAACGGCCATTATGCTCTTGTGTTTCCTTTTGGGCCATGGTGCAGTTTTTCAGTTGATCCTGTTTAAAGAAGCTATTGGAGTGTTTTTAGTTCTCTCTCTCTGTCCCTGTCGTTAAATGCATAAGCATAGCTAGTTGGGCTTCTGTGCTCAACGCCTGAACTGAAAGGCTGAGATGACCATACAAGGAATATCTGCGCTCACTGACATCATAAAGATCCAAGGATAGAAAAAAAAGTTCTGAAGTCTGAGCTCTCCTCTCACAGAGATCACCTTTACATACACCAACATTAGTTCTGAAACTTTGGCCGTTTTCTGTGAACATCCACCAGTAGAAGAACAACGCATATATAAAATTAAGGAAAAGACACAGAAAAGAAAATGAGACAGAAGCGGAGCGTGAAATGACAGGATTATTATTTCACTTAATGTTGCTAAAGTAAACACAGAAACAGGAAACCAGCAGTAAAATGTGACCGTAGACCTGCAGAGTTTGAGCTGGACGAACTCAAAGAAACCCGGAGTGATTACAGCCATAGAGTCGCTCGCATGCCCACAGCCAATCAGAAACAAGATCAAAGCACAAAACAGAAACCTTTAGTTGTGTTCAGCTCCTCCCTGATGGGTGTGATTTTCAAGTTTGCACAAGATGCACTCTTTTTCTACAAGGCTTGCTCTTGTTCTGCAAGCTGGAGACGCAATCCACATCACGCTGCCTAGCCCCAACCACCCCACCGCTGAGCCGAGGGACACGAGAGGCAGGATTTATCACTGACGGGCAGCTCTGCCCAAAGCTCTTCATCCACTTTTCTCCATCACTCATAAACAACAAAGAAATAAAGCACTCAGACTTCTGTGTGATGAAACAGAGTTTTTGGCACAAAAGATCTCGTCGAGGTAATTGAAGCAACAGCAGTGAACACGACCAACGAGCATTCAGTAAGCACTAAGAGGTTCCTGGCGTACATACAGTAGAGGTTCAGTCATTTTCTTCTTCTCTGGTTTCCTTGACGTTTTATTAATTTCCTTTTTTTTTTTTTAGTTCGGCTCTTAGTCCCACCCTCACGGACTTTGCTGCTCCATGTTTTCGATCAAGGGGTCTTTCTTTAGGAACTGCAGATGTCTGATGGACCTCCACACTCCGACATAGCTATCACTGAGTGACGTGGCAGCAGTGGTGTTCTCTTTGTGGAGGTGCTCCCTCTGCATCTCCAGTGCCTCTTTTTCTGTCATGACATGAGAATTGACACCTTTCTCACCTTCTCCCGTCCGCAACTGTCCGTTAGCCAAATGGGCCGTGGCTGCTGCCTCCTCCTTGTCGTCACTGCTCGGCACTCCTTCTGTCTCTGGCTGCTCTGGGTCAGATCCTGTAGTGGGACCGCTCCCGTCCAGCGGAGGTTTCTCTCTGTAAGGCTTGCCCGGCAGCCCGTTGTCCTTTCCCGCCACCTCCAGGTCCTCGTACGAGCTCTTCTTCTTTGTCTCGTAGTATTTAACCACACAGTAGGTGATGGAGCCGATGGTGTTCACCACCACACCGCCAATGAAAAGACTGGTGGGTGCAACGTCACTGAAGGCCAACATACCGACGGTGATGGTGGCGATGCTCTTGACCACACCAACGAAGCTGGTGGTGACAGCCGAGTTGATGTAGGTGCAGTGCAGCGTGGTGAAGTTCATGGCACAGCCAATGAAGATGCAGAAGATGAAGATGACCGTGATGTGAGGGTCCGTCCAGCCCTTGTATGACCAAATGTTGATGGCATCCATAGAAATGAAGGAGCACACCAGCAGCACCTGAGAGAAGCCGATAAAAATACAAAATGAGAAGCGAGAATAACGATGGCAGTAAAGTTTGAAAATACACCACTCCATACCGGTGAGGCCATGATGGCGATGGCGTACTGTGCGGTAAGCGGTCCATACTCGCTGTCCAGACTGGTTTTCTGGATCAGAACCAAGTAGGAGGCATGGATGATGACGGCTAAAACACCGGTGACGTAACCAAAGGGATCACCTGTGAGATCACCGGCACCTGCGGAGAAAGAATTTAAATCAAGTTTTTACATTTTTTTATTTCAACATCTGTAAAGTTTCTCTCGATTTTATTTACATGATATTTTTCTGAACTTTAAGTTCAGTATAACTGGGATATGGTATGTTTTATCCACAGCCTACATCAATATTAATACAACTTTTTGTAACAGGGCAACAAACAATAGCACCCTGTCGAGTGCCAACTGCACCTTACTTCAGATGCCCGCTAAGTCTACGTCCCAACATTGAAGGGCGGGGCTTGTTGGATCAGTTTAGGAAGTCAAAACAACTTCCGGTCAGGAAGAGATGGTAGACTGGGTCCAGTCCCTTCACAACAGCAATTCCCAGCAGCTTTGTGCTTTGTTAAATGGATGATTTTTTATTTATTTTTTATTCATCAAGACGTCTGTTTATTTGATGGGTAATTTGCTATAGTAACCTGAAACCACACACTGTCCGGGGAAAGCTTAAGTACACCCTGTAATTAAATTGCTTATAAAAAGAACTTCGGGCACAAATACTCGAAGAATTCATTATTTTCTCATGTGGTTGTGAAGGAATTTTGCAGGCATTCATTCATTCCACAGCATTTCGATCGTGTTGGGATCTGGACGTTGTCTGTGTCATTGCAGCATTGGGTTCTAGAGCTTTAACGTTACTGTGAAATGTTGAGCAGCATTTCTCAGACAGCTTCTCCTTCTGTGTCTGAGAGGTTTCCTTGTGTTTTAGCATATCTGTGATATCAAAAGATGGGAGATTGTGGGAGTTTGTAGGTGGGAAAGCTGAGGAATGAGGACAGATGATAAAGAAGGAAAGATGGAATTAATCCTGTGCTGAGCCTGTATGCTGGAAGCTTGACAAGGAAGCTTCTCATACTGAAAACAAACTACACTAACTGAAGCCTCGTCTGCCAGCGTGATGTCAGTGCTCGTGTTGTCAGTGAAAACCAACCAATACACTTGGTCAACCTGCCCATCAGATTTGGCAAACACACAGCAGTCACTTCCATTTTTTTACATATTCCATCTTTGGATTCATCCACTGCTGCTGACTGTCCCTTACAAATGCACAAGTTCCTCGTGTTTGAGAAAGTGGTGCTCATTGCTGTTAGAAAACTGCTGCATTTTTAAAGCACACAATAATACATGTGACTGTGGATATTTTTAATGTAATTGGCTTTGGGCTGGCAAGTCAGAAGTTGTTACTTAGAAACGCTTCTTGTTGGTAGAAATCAGGAAAAGACTAAAAACTACAATGAAACTCATTAGGAACTTGAGAAAGATGGTATTAAAATTATTTTTAAAAACCACAAACTTTAGTGAATCAGGTTCTGACTCATAATGACTTCCACTGTTGCAGTCGCATGCTTCTGTTGGCCCATCATCATCATCTGCAGCGATACAATGTTGCTCTTCTTCCACACGGCCCCTTTTCTATGTGAGCCTTTTAGAAATTCTTCAGTACTGGTGATGGTGCAGAATGCGCTCTGATCAGCAGCAGTGAACACCAACCATTTGTAGCATTTGCACCTTTAAAGCTCCATAGATGCACGATTTATTCCTGCAGGTAGGCGGAAGGATTTTTATACTACCTCCTCACCTCAGTGATGTTAATCCAGGATAGAGTGAATGTGACCAATTTTCCAATTCATTTAAATTCAATTCAGTTTCATTTAAACAGGACCAAATCACAACAAGAGTTGCTTTGTGGCATTTTATATTGTTATATTATAGCAGCTGTAAAAACCAGCTGTTTTAATAAAATCCGTTTTTTTATTAAAATGTTTAGCTGTTCCTTAAATTGATGTCACTAAAAGCACATAAAACAACCATTAGAAGCTACTTTATATGTTCATGGATGTGCAAACATTGCTCAGTGGGTTATCATAAAAACACCTTTAAACTCAGAGAGAATATATAATTTGCATTTTCTATTATTTTAAATCAAATTTAGAGATGACTATCCACTTCTAAAATAATTCACCACGTATAAGGCGCCACAGTTGGTCTATTATCTTTCAACTCAATGTAATTGGTGTAGCTGTTCCCCTAGGTGTTACAATCGAGTGTAGCATCCCTGATAAAGGATGAGAGGGGGGCTGGTAAAGTTGGATGGGGATCCTGTTCCATCTCAGGCAGCCATCAAAGCCGTTCGTGCCCACTAAGCACTTACAAATCCACAAAATTCTCACCAGCACTTTTCTGAGTTCATATGATTCAAAATGGGGTCAGGTATAATTTTCACAGAAGCTCAGCAGAGAGAATTGAGTGGATTTTCAAAATAAAAGCCCCATGCAAACTAAACACAGGTGTGCTCCTGGTGTGATCATCTGCCCCTTGTTAAGCATGTGTGATGTTTTTTACAACTTTTAGAATAAAGTTTAAAATCTGAATAAAGGCTCTGAGGTACAGTATGTGCCAACATACAACAGGAAGTAGACCCTGAAAAACATTCGGCTCAAAAGACTCGCTGCACAACAACATCAACCATCACAAAGGCTTATTAAACTTGGGGTGGGGGAAGGGGTCATAAGCTATCTCCCCCATAATATTAATCATGGCTGAAAGATGTGCCTCATACGCAAACTGTTGACGTGACAAACAATCCAAATGTTGCAGAGATTTGGCTAATCCACAAGGGACGCATGGAAGATGCACATCTTACATTTTTTTGCGAGAAGCAGTAATTATCATGAAGATTAAAACCCAGGATGATGAATCTGTCCATTAGATTCATATTCTGCAGAGTTCACAGTCCATGTTCCAGCAACCCCCCATCCAGCAGACTGGATTAATCCAGGAAATGAATTGTGCGTGGAGGTTTTTGTTTATGACTTCAGGATCGTTATCGCTAATGGAAGGGCAACATTTACTGCTGAGAATGATGATTAAAAGATCTGTATAAGACAGATAACTTAATGTTTAAACAGCTTTAACTGTTGTTGTTTTTAAGGATCAGCTTCAATATTTTCTTCTCCTTTATGAAAAAAACAAATACATTAAAAGAAGATGGAAAGGCAGAGTAAACAAGTTAACAGAGGGATGAATGAACAGCAAGAGAAGGCTCTTTAAAAAGTACACGCTACACCTTTGACATTTGACCACGGACAGATGGAGTTGACCTGAAACACTTGTGCTTTAGGAATAAGAGAGTGAGGGATTGTTTCCCACAAACACAACACAAGTTAAAAGCTGTTTGAGAATCTGTTTACGGCACATCGCTTTGGCTATGTGGGTGTTACAAGCCAACCAGCCAACAGCTTATAGGACTGTGGGAGCTGCTCAAAAATAGAAGAAAACAGGTTCCTGGCACAACTTCACCAACTTCCAAGGTGCATAAAGAAAAGCCAAAAATGTTAAAACTCTGACAAGCACTGATATAGAAGCATTCAAAATGTTTTTGCAACTATCCTAACACCTCTGTTCTTTAAGAAGGTGTTTAAAGTAATCAGACGGAGGCTATGTGGACCAGTCTGCCAATAATAGACATGACTGGAGTCTCCTCCACTCTTTAATTTTTTTAATTTTGCAAATCAACATCTGTTTCAAGGCACTTTATATTGCAAAGTAAAGACCTTAAAATGTTAACTCCCCAAAATTGAGACAATCCACTACAAATAGCACTCTGACAGTGGAAATGCAGAAATGCCTTTTACAAGGAAGAGATCTCTGGCAGAACCAGACTTGAATAAGGGCAGCTGTCCAAGGCAACCAGGTAAGGGTGTAAGGGGGAGAAAGAAGGAAAGCATTTTGATGCAAAGATAGACAATGGGACAAGCAGCTCTGGTGGGGTAGTGTGTGTCAGCACGTTAATGGGATGTGGAATATTCTTGGACTTGGGCTAAAACCTGTTAGCACGTTAGTAACAAAGACATAAACAGGACTATGGGCAGTACAGAACCCTGAGCACCTTAAACTGCCTCAGTGCACTAGTTTGTCACTAAGTGTGTGAGTGTTTGTTTGTGCTCACCAGCTAGCGCAGCTCCCCCGGTGGTGATGAGCACAGCGGTCACCACCCCGACAGACGGCACGCCGTTCCTGAGCACGCACACGCCAATGCTGAGCGTGAAGAGTGGCAGGCAGCGCTTGAACACGACGTACATGGGCAGGCTGAGGCCGCGCAGAGACCACAGCGTGAGCGTGGACTGCAGCGTGGAGAGGATACACACTGAGGCAAACTCCTGCACAGACAGGAAGAGACAAGCATCCATGGTGACACATTAACACACATTCACTTCACTGAGGACCTGACCACTTTACTCGAGTATCTTGAATGTGCTGGAGCAATAACAGAAATCTCCTTCCTGCTCAAGCTGATGCAAACACACATTCTCAGGCCTGAAACAGACTTGAAGTGTTTCCATGTTTCTGCGACTAAAATGAAACTTGTTTGCATCTACATAGCGCTGCCACAAACGATTATTTTGATAGTCGACTAGTCACCGATTATTTTTGCGATTAGTCGACTAATCAGATCATCCATTGGAGGTAAAACGTACAGCTTATTGCACCAGCAGCATCTGCTCTTATATAACTATCATTAGCTTACAGCTTTAAGTGTTTAAGGTGTGTGCTAACTAAAAATAAAGACAAGATGATAGTTTATTAAATGTTAATGACATTTGCAGATTGTTTCGGTGAAGTTTAATAAACTCAGCCGTCTGCTCCTTGCTCTCTAAAATATAACAAGACACTGGAGTATATTCTCCAGCATCTCACACTTCTGATAATCAGCTGTCTGCTTGACGTTTATTCAGCTGTGTAAAAACTATAACTTTAATCTCAGCCAAACAGATTTACTCAGGAACAAATGAAAACCAAAAAAAAGCCAAACGATAACATTTTTAAGTTATCTAAGCGACTTATATATCATGTTTAACCTGAGTAGCGAAAGACGGCGGTGGGTTTGAAAATGATTTGCGGGGAGTCCGGTGTTCTCACCGGCTCTAGTGAGCCTTGCCCCCGGCTCGCTATCGAGCTAGTGGGTAACGGACGTCTCCGAAAACGTCGGAGCGCTTTTGAAAATATGCGGTGTCTTGATAAACTGAGCAGATATTTGAGGTTTACACAGCTACATTCTCACTTGAAAATATGTTAAACGTTTATTTTGTGACCCAGAAAGAATAATAAGAGTAATATTAAAACTAACTAGCTGCCGCCATTGTTGGAAACTGAGCAGGGCCGTGCTATGAATTCTGGGATATGTTGGGCCACGAAGTATACACCCAACCCATCCTTCAAATCTGGGGAAATGAAGGGCGCATTTGTCGGAGTCTTCGAATTTGAGCAGTCTTCGTCGTGTCGCTGTAATGTAATTGGCCTACAAATGCGGGCACAGGAGGATGTGGTTCCTGAATTTGGACACAGCTACGATACCGGACACTGCTTCTGCAGTGTGGTCAGTATTCAGATACCTGGATAATATTCGAGCGGCACAGTATTTACCACTCAAAAACACTGAGGGCACTGCACTAAAGAACTCCACTTTTATGGTAGTAGTGTCAGTAAATCGCTACACTTCAGAACTCCACTTTAAGTACAGCATTTCCCCTGAAATGTAGCAAAACAGAAATGCCTCAGATTTACACTGAAGTCCAAAAATCTCAGCTAAATCTAATCTAAATCTGCCTCCTAAAGCAGCAGTGAGTGCAGCTGGAGTTAATGTGCTGTGCCTGAACGTGTAGTATTTGTACTTTCATCCAGAAACACTCGTTGTGTTCGACGGATCAGGCCTTGGGTCTCAGTGGACTCTAACCCACAGCCTCTGTTTAATGTACATCGACTGTCATCATTTTTCACTGTCGAGGAGGCGAATCGTACAAATGCAAGCAGAGGTGGAATGACCGCAGTCGTGTCTCTGTGTTGTTCTGATGCCTCGTTTATACCCTGTTTCACTGAGTGAGATATGGGAGGCCTGTTCTATGTAAAAACTCACATTAATTATGAATGATGAGGATGGCAGCTCCAATACAGTGTTTAAACTCAAAGATACAGCTGAAGTGAAGAAGAACATTAATAATAAAATAAAGATAAATAGACTATAAGCATCCAGTATGATGAGTTCAGTTCTCAGATCTGGACGTTTTTAATGAATGAAAAGAATCTTGTGAACAAAAAAGTCGTTGATTTCTGAAAAGCTCCTATTCCTAAAAGCTTTGGCAAACACAAGCTTTGAGCAGGTGTCATTTATTTATTCTAATTACATTGTTTTTAATGATGAAGTAGTAAAAACTGAGCCCGTCCCCAGAGACTGCTGAATTAAACCTTACAGGGTTTAAAGGAAAACCATCTTTGTTATACAGTGTGTGTGTGTGTGTGTGTGTGTGTGTGTGTGTGTGTGTGTGTGTGTGTGTGTGTGTGTGTGTGTGTGTGTGTGTGTGTAACAGCTCAATGAGTCCATGCAGAATATACAGTCTGTTATTACAGTTATTGTAGTGGGGACATGAATGAAAAAGTACCATATTCAGGTTTACGCTCTTCCTCCAGATTATGATTCCGTTCCATCACTGCAGTCTCTTTAATGTATCTTGTCAATCAGCCAGTAATTAAAGAAAAATGTTCCACTCTAAAACAAATTTCATTCAGTCATTAGTTTTATTGAGGCAGGTCTGAGCCGATGATTAAGCAGTTTCCTCTATTTCAAACCGTAACTTTCACAAACTGCAGTTTAAATGAGTGACCGTGGATTTAGAGAAAAATCCGTTAAAATGCGTTAAAAAAGTAGTGAAACTGATTTCACTACTTCACTAAGTATAAATACTTGAATCTGTGTATTTATAATGAATACATTTTGAATAGTGAAGTTTTGATCTAAATAACAGAAATATTACATTTTTGCGAGCCTCTAAATGAATAAAGTGAATAAAGACACTTTGTGGAGACTTCCTGTCACACTGGTTACCTTGGCGAGCTGCAGGCTGAACGGGGGGATCTCGACCTTCCCCAGCCGCCTGAGGGTCTCCAGGGTGAGCATTGCGGTGCTGCTGGTCAGAAACTGTATAAGCGTGAGGAAGCCGAAGTGATAATTACTGATGAGGAACTTCAGCAGGATGTTCAGGGAGCCCGAGAACACGCCGTGCGCCACGGCCACGGAAATTCCCAAAAGTCGGCTCTTGAACACATCCATGACGGGGGCCAGAGAGGAGTCGGTGTCGGGGAGCCCTGTGGACAGGTTGGGTGCTGCCAGGCGCGGAAGAGGAAGGACTTGAGGCTGCACAAAGCCCGCTGTCCGCGTTCAGGAGCGTTCAGACGGAGAAACGTAGCAGGAGCTCGCGCTCGGAGTCGGTGCTGCACGTGACACAAACTTTAGTTTCCACTGAATCATCATCACCCGTGGACATTCTCCTCTGCTTCTTTCTCGGAAAATAAAATCAGACGAAAAAGTCCTGCAGAAGTGGGAGAGCGGCGCAAACAGCGCAGCAGCCTCTCCTCGGAGCGCGCACTCTGTAATGACATTTTGCCGCAGAGCCTCTTGGCTCAGAACCGTGGGGGGTGGGGGGGCAGGGGGCGGTGTTTACCCGCTCCATCAATGAAGTCACGGAGGATACATGACCGCGAGTGTCTGCGTGGAAATGTCTTTATCTTTGTTTTGAGAGGCAGTTTAAATATTCATGACTTTGATTCGGCACCTCCTCCTCTTCATCAGAGAGAATAACCCTCACGAGCCAAAACCAAAAGATGAAGATATTAAATACTCTGTAATATTAATTCCAGCTATGATAAACATTTCTGTGTGCAGGGATCGGACCAGTGAGAGCGCATTCATCGGATTTTTGAGTCAACAACAATTTACTAGATTATTTATCCATGCTTTGGTGCGTTCTGTAGTTTGTTTCTTTGTGGGGGGTTTTCGTGGCTTCTGATTATTTCCCGTTTTTCCCAGAGTTAGTACTTGACTCCATACATACATGTCTCTGTGTCTTTGGTAACACTTTATAATTTGGCTTGAGACTAAGGGCTTTATTTCTGAGTAATTAACCAGGATTTATTTGACATGATAATGTAGCCTAATTATGTTTATGTACAATTACTTAAAAGTTATACTGTAAGTAAATTTGAAGTAAAGTATAAGTTAAAAAAGGACAGTTAAATAATAGAAAAATAGATAGATATTTCCTTGTTTTCTATACAAATCTAACTTGTTACCTCCTTATTCAAGACTGTTCAGTTTTATTTATACAGTGCCAAATCACACCAATCGTTGCCTCAAAGTACTTTATATTTTAAGTTAAAGACCTAAATAATACACAGAAAAAAGTGAAAAGCCCGACAATTATGAGCAAGCGCTTTGGTGTCCTTTTAAGAGGACGAAACCTCCAGCAGAACCAGGCTCTGGGAGGGGTAGCCATCTGCCGTCACTGTTACTCTAGTGTAGCTACCTAATTGTACATAAGTATAATTACATTGTAATTTCAAAATATAATAATAGAAATTAATTAAATTACAGAGGAATTACGATTTTAGTGACGGCCAATTACTATAATTTGATGGGAAAGGTGGAAAAAGACCTTATTATTGAGCTACAGATTCCAGATAAACTCTACAGTTGTAGAGCTAAAGCTTACATGAGCATCCATCCACTTTGTTCCTTTGCTCAGAGTCATGACGGGGCCACAACCTGTCTCAGGTGTGGGATTCAGCGTGGGTCTCCAGTCTGAAGCAGGGAGCCTTTACATACATGCAGGAAACAACGAAACATTACCAGGTAGATTGATAAAGACTAGACCTGTACACTCTGTATCTGGCATATCTGAGCAGTCATTTCTTCCACCTTAAAACCTGAACTGTTCTGATTCAGAGAGCAAAACGTTTATTTGGAGGTGTAATAATCTCCTAAACTCCGTCTGCTGCGGATCACAGCCGCCAGTGCCGACGAGTACGACTGTAAAGACTCAGCAAGAGTACAGATGACTGTAGCCGTGTTTACCTCTTCTGCAGTTCAGTCTTAATCAGATTTATTGCCGTGACAGATCATAGATTTATACGCTGCTGAAGCTGAAAACCGCACAGCGTGGATATAGGATGAAATAATCAACAGATTTTACAGATATTAACAGGAAGCAGCTCAGCATGTTCAGTGCAGGGCCTCGGAGTCTGAGTGTGGGCTGGAAGTAGGCCTATTATCTTTTGAAATATATTAATTAATCTGTAAAATATGAGAAATAAAAAAACAAAGATGCTAGAAAAATCTGAAAGTGCAGCTGAAAACCCCCCCAGGGAAAATCCTCACACTAAAGACGCTGAAATCAGAGGTTTACTCGATTAAAGACCTCGTGGATGAGCTGCTCATTTATTTGCACTAAACGAGTTTTATTAACTCCGTGTTTCATGGAATCGGCCCGGATCTGTGGAGCAGGTTTCAGGTTCTCTGTTCTCCAGGTGTGTAGAGAAATGAAATGACACATTCTTGGTTCACCTCAGCAGACTGGGCACCTGATCAATCGTGGGACAACGACAAGCCAGAATGTGAAGATACACCTGCATTTATACTCGTGTAACGCATCTTCAGCCCTTCTTTGGAGAAAAGCACCCCTGACCTCACATCTGTGGCATCTGCAGGAAGCTGAATGAGTGGAGGATTTTGGAGGGTACGTCACCTGAATAAATGCAGTGGCTGTTGGAAGCGCGTGCCCGATGTTTGCAGGTGTGCGACCTACTGTAAAATATTCCATCTACATAACTGATATCAGCATTAAACTGGTGGATAATTTCTCACTCACAGAGCATTAATAACCCTTGTGTGTGTCCTCTTGCATTTGAGCCCTTCATGAATGGATGTGAGTGTGAGAGGATTCAGATCATCAAATTTAACCCTTGCCCAGCATGCACAGACGATGAAACCTGGATATCGCCGCACGTGTAACAGTATAAAACAGGGCGGGGACTCTGTGACGTCCCCGCTTCCAGCCTTGAACTGAGAAAGTGATGCTGCTGCGGGGATTTCCATCCCTGTGTTCTGGCCACCAGCTCATCCCGAAGATCCTGGATGAGGCTGAACTCGTGTTGTTCCGCATCAGACACAGAAAATCATTTCTTAATGGAACAATTTATCTACTGCAGTAGCCTATTAAGATTTCCCTTTGATAGAGCTAAAAACAAACAACAACAAAAACCCTCTATGTATATTTTGACGTCTGCCATGATCCTGGAGAAACAGACATCTCTATTTTTCATTCCTTTAAGCCTCCTCCACCTCCTTATCGAAAAACAGAGACTCCACCATCAGTCGTAACAGGCGTGGAAATGACTTGGACAATATTTTAATTGAAATATTTCATCAGAAAATCAGTTTGCAGGCCACAGGGAAGGGAAATCCGCCCTTATCGAGGTCAGACCATTAGCTTCAATTAACACGCGGAGAAAGGAGAAGACGGAGGCGCTTTCAAACGTTGGGAAAACGGGCCGAGGATTTAGACCGGAACTCGCTGAGAGAGGGAGGAGGGGAAACTGCAAATACATGCATGCATTGTTCTAGAAACTATAGGTAATATAGATTAGGCCGAGTAATTTAACTTCAAACACAGAACTTAACAGGCGTGAATCCATTTTTAATATGGATTTCCAAATGAATGTGTAGCACACAATCACGGCGAAGGAATGAGAAACCACGTCGCCTGAAGCCAGCGACAGTTTCACCCGTCTGTGGGCTCGTACACAATGTCTCATTTCATTTTGAACTTAAACTGAACAGGTTTTTTTTTTTCAACACTGGCGGAAAAATATCAATATTAAAAATATTACAATTTATATATATAATCAACATTTTATGTCAGTGAAACCTGCAAAAATCGAAAGGACTCAAAGGTTATTTGAGATTTGTCTAGAAGACACTGAAGAGTCTCACAGCATGTAAAATGATGATGTGAAATAATTCATCTTCCTGGACATGAATTCGTCTTCATGTAAACAAACATCAGTGTCAGTGTGATCATCCCCATTTTCTTCCAAAGTGAGGGACAGACTTTAACTTTTCATTTTCCCCGTATGAAAATGTTCCAGTGATACAGATGTGCGTGTTTCACAAAAAATGATCCACACTATTAAAATTAGCTTTATTCAAGGCACATCGCCAAACACTGAAGCCGTCTCAACTGACTGTGAAATAAACTCACCGTAAACTTTTCAGTGACGTGTGAAACATGAAGGACATTTGCAGTTTTAAACTCAAACTGATTAGAGAGTACAAAGGTTAAAGTTCAACTCAGACACAAAAATATCCCTGATTGAGAAACAAATGATAAATTAACTTGCAGCAATTAATATTAAAAAATAAAAACACTAAACACACGGATGATGGGGAGACCTGTTTCAGTCCAGTGTGAGGTGTTAGCTTCACTCCTAAACTCCGGAGTTTTTCCAAAGTTCCCAGGTCTGAGAGCAAATAGTATAGCTGTGTGTTTGTGTGTACGGGTTCTTGCTATCTTGGTGGGGACCAAAATCTGAAATTTACTATACTGGTGGGGACCAAAATCCAGGTCCTCATCAGGTTGAAGGCATTTTTCACACTCAAAATGTGGTTTTAGTGTCAAGGTTACAAATGGGTTATGGCTAGGCTAGGTTTAGGGTTAGGGTAAGCGGCTAGGGAAAGCATTATGTCAATGGGATGTCCCCATGAGGAATGCAAACCAGACGTGTGTGTGTGTTTGCGTGTGTGTGCATGTATCTACCACACTTCCATGGTCAGTTAGAATAACTCAACATGCCTGTCTCTGGACAGTGGGAGGAAGCCAGAGTACACACACAAAAATGTTTGAACTAGAAACCTTCCCACTGTGAGGCAACAAACCCAACCCCTGCACCACTATGCCACTGTAGTAGGCAGCATTGAATACGGGGGTGCCACTGTTTGATAATGTGAAATGCCCAGAATAACAAAACCAAGAACAAAAGTTATCACAGTAAAATATCTGCTTTTCAAACACATGCCAACACATGCTTTATTCTGACAGAGTCGATCACAGTCGTGGGACCGAGTAATGTCCAGCTCATCTGCCCAAACATGATGGCTGGTGTTTTCCAGTTCCTATGGAAACAAGGGTCCAGTAGCCACCTGTGAAACTTATGTTTTCAGAATTTTGGCTCCGATTTGGTACCAAAGTGTCAGAGCAATGACGTCTCAGTGGCGTGTGTCTTAACCATTCACAGTTTGAGGCTCGGATTTTGAACAACGTTGTGGAAGAAGTGAAGAGTCGGGTGTGCGTCGGCGAAGCAGTCGTTATGGTTCAGGACGAGGCACTGGCTTCATCGGGGAGAAGTGCTCGAATACCAGCGCCGAGGTGAAATCGTCCTCAGAGGTCTGTGGGCATTTTAAGGGGCTGCACTGTGCGCTCCCACCGACAGGCACGCAGGTGTGTACACCTTCACCGTCTCGTCCCAGGAACAGTCCACCACCTGCATACACACAACCACACACATGCTGTTCAAGAGCACCTCACACTCACATCGGGATTTGAACCTGCAGCATCAAATGAACCGAATCATCCATCCATCCATCCATCCATTCACTTCCGTTTATCCTTTTCAGGGTCGCGGGGGGCGCTGGAGCCTATCCCAGCTGTCATAGGGCGAGAGGCGGGGTACACCCTGGACAGGTCGCCAGTCTGTCGCAAGGCTAACACACAGGGACAAACAACCATTCGCACTCACCGAGTGAGTGAATCAATAGAACAAAAAACATCCTGCAGTATGCAGACGTATTAAACATGTCAGGCTGACGATTTACAGAATACGGTGCAAGAAACATCTGGAATACTTCTATTTAATGACACTCATAAAAAAAAACAAAACAATAAACACTAAACACAAAGCCACATATTCTGTTTCCAGCTTCTAATGGATTTAGGATTTACTGCTTAAAATCACAGTAAAATCATGTTTTTTGGTGCTTGAACAAACAAGATGATTCCTGAGGGTCTGCAAGTCTGAGTCGGCATTTACTGACAATCCTCGATGGTTCAAGTAAGGAATGACTGACAGTGAGAGAAGAATCTAATGCTTTCACTCCGTAATGATGGGAAAACCCTATTATATAGAAATTTCTGGATTTTTATATTCATATTAATGAAAACTGAAGTCCCTGAAAGATGGAAAAATGAGGCTCATTTCCACCACACGAGGTTAAACACAGATTTAATCCAGGACTATAAAGCAAGCATCGACATCACTGACAGAAACATGTCTGAACCAAAACTCTCACAATTTATATACTTTTAGAAATCAGAAGATAGAGCTTGTGAAGATTGATGTAAAGTGAAGCACGTATCCAGAGAAAATCTGGAATAAACTGAATGTTCTTTTCTGCAGCAAAAAAAAAAGAAGATGTGACTGGGCAGGTAACAGCTGGTTCTCTGTGGTAAAGTTAAATCACGCTCAAGCTTCCAGCTGAAATTACCTGCAGCTCTGAGACAACAGAGGAGTTCGGGTTAAGTGTGGTCTCTGTCTCCTCTCACAAACACATCAAAGTGTTCCACCTGAATTAGCTTCCATTATCAGGTCGGGCACAAAGGAGTTTAGAGAGCGTGCAGACTCCAGGTCTGCACAACAAACTCTCTTTTCTTTCCTGTGTTTTGCCTCCAAAGAACATCCTCTCAGGTTTGTGAAGGCTAGTTTAAGAGCTGTCCATCGACATAAATCCATTTATTGCACTTCATCCTCTTGCTTTCATCAGTCTCCACTGATTCACCAGCAGGTTGAGCAGGACTGAGAGTGTATTAATAAAAACATGCTTTTATATTTGCAGTATTTTCTCTTCGTCATCCAGGTTTCATCTCAGCTGCGGTGGTTTTACATCAAACCACAGATACTGAGTGTTTCCCAAAAGCTCGTCAGTATGAATGAAGAGGAAAGAGTGTCTGTTAAGAAATAACATTTGATTTGGGTTTACTTTCACAGCACAAACACATAAAGCAGTCACGACATCAGCTGAGAGCTAAATCATAAAAATAAAAAAGTCATATTTTTGTGTTTTAGAGTTCATTATTCATTCATTGGGTTAAAAGTGACCACAGCGCTTTAAGAAGGTGGAGCCGGCCGGCTCAGATGAGTCGAGGTAGTTCTTAGTTCAACCATCCAGATACCAGAATATTTACTCAGACTGACTCGAATCAGAACAGGACAGTTTGTCAGTGTCAGTCATGTTAAACTCTTCACACCCAAATGTTTCCTGTACTTTCATGTAACTTTTTCTTTTTCTCGTCTTTCAGACAGCGTCATCAACGAGACATCTAAGTCTTAAAGAACAACCACCATCCACAAGAGTCCTGATCTTAGCATCGCAGACTATGAGGTCTTGTTCGTATGTACATGGGTATCGATAACTTTGTTTCAGCCTTTAGCCCACTTCTTATTCTCAGTGATGGAACCACATTCAAGAAGAAAGATATAGGAACTCTGACATCAGAGACCAAAAACTCACACTTCATTCATCTAAGTGCCAACACTGCAGACGACCGAGCCATCATCCCCTCCCCCATTCCTCCTGGATGATTTTAAACGACCTGCCTGCTGAAGACTTTGAAAAAAACGGTATCTGTATCCGATTTCTTTCTTACTGCAGTTTGTATGAAGCTAACTAATAAAACATTTTGTAATTTTAAAGCCTTCACATTTAAATTTCATTTTATACTTTTTGGTTGTTTAGCTGGTGCATTTTTACAAAATCAGATAGTGTTTGTAAGTCACACAATACAGCAATTCGAGGACAACTGATACGTCAAGAGTAGAAGGAAAAACAGTTACCCCCAATAAGGCAGGAATACTGTTTACCCTAATCTCTGCCATTTCCATCATGTTTCCCCTTCACCACAGTGCCACTGTATACAGAAACCGTAAATTCATCTTTTGGAACATTAGATTTATATTTATTTAGCACTCTTTTAGCACTCTTTGACACTCTTTGGTAAGTCCACATGTCAGGGATCAGGCTTTTTCATTTGGAGCATTTGCACTAGGGATGGGTACCGGTTCTGACATAAACTGTAGTAACCAGACCGAAAAGCAGCGCACATTTCGGTGCTTTTTTTTTTCCTGAGATGTCACACACTTTGGATTCCAGCCAATCATTTTACCTTTGCGAGTGTAGCAGGCGGGCCCAGGTACGTACGTTCTTTTAGAGCAGAGCTACAGATTAAAAATGCCCAAAGCGAAGCGGTCAAAGTCTGGCTGCACTTCACAGCAAAAGATGCAAACTCAGCAGCCTGCAACAAGTGCTTTAAGGTGATACCGTGCAAAGGAGGTAACACCTCGAATCTGATCAAACACCTGGCGACATATAGCATTTTGTTAAAAGCCGAGAAATGCGCCATTTTTGATAGCTTGCTGCGAGACCTCACACCGAGCACATTTACTGCGCGTGGGTTGCCTGTTATCTGACCCGGAGCAACATTTCCCAAGAACCCGAAGAATAGAGTCCTGGCCCGTAGCCCTGCCAGTGTAGCAGAAATGATGAGGATGATGATGGCAGCAGCAGCCGTTCTTCTCTGCGTGAGTAGCTTCATGTTGTTCGTGTGTAATTTACGTTGAGTAGGCTAACCACGTTATTACATTAATGCATGTAAGGTGAACTAGCAAACACCGTCGTAGTTACGTGGCTGTCTTCTTGTTTGATGGCAGATACTCCTTTCACCCTGGCCAAAAAGGCTAAAATGACCAAAGAAAAAGTGGAAAACAGTTAAACATGAGAGGATTAGGACAAAGTTTGTGTTTTTTCCATTATTTAAGCACTGCTTCCAGCCAAGAGTGATGCCATATATGCCCCATAGCTACAGAAAAGGCTAACATTGTTATCTTTTTACAAAAAAAACCAGCTGAACATGAGAGGTTTTTGGACCAATTTTGTGTTCTCCATTCTTTAAGCACCGGTTCGAGCACCGTTTAAGCACCGGCACCGTTTCAAAAGTACCGGTTTGGCACCGGTATCGGATAAAACCTAAACGATACCCATCCCTAATTTGCACGATGTCATACAAATATTCAGTGTAAGTTAATCAATAAGAAATAAAATTCAACATTTTGTTTGAAACAAACTCAAGAGGTAAAAAATCCTGACTGAAAATATTCGGCTGAAGTCTTTTTCCACAGACAGAGCTTTCAGACGATCCAGTGAAGGAGAAAATACAGCTGCAGCTCCACCGCCCTCTCTTTACTCTATAATCAGCCGGGACATGGCTATCATCTGAATGACATGCCTCAGCATGGACGAGGCTATCAGCTGAATGACACACTGCCTCACTGTCATCTGTCCCAGCTGCAGAGTGGCTCATGATTTCAGCTTTCAAAGTACAACCCTGGTTCTGCTTCACTTTCGTGAATCTTAAAGATTTGTGCTGTTGCAGGTGTTAGAAGCAGCTTTGCGTTGGATTGAACAGTGAAGAAGATGCGGGATGAAGTCTGCTGGGTGCTGTTGAGGTTGTAAAAACAGAACTGATTGAAGAAATCCTGCTCTGTAAATGTGCTGCAGGTTTAACTTGCATATCCTTTGATTTGTTATAATCCATCACAGAGATGGAGGGCGAATTAAACACCCTAACTGGTTATTTTTACCTGCCGTGTTTGCTTCCTAAAGTTATAAAAATCCATACACACCATTAGCCATGAGCTGGGTATGGTCAAAAGAAATGTTAACACATGTTCAGATTATATTATTGTTTAACTTGATCAATTTAGCGTGTTTCAGCTACTGCTGATTTTTACACTCACCTGCCATCTCTGACTCATCTGACAACCCAACGCCAATAACACTAAGCTGAGGTTTTTACCTGATTGGTTAAAAAGTGGCTTGAAGAGGTGTTCAGCATTTGGATTTAAGAGGTCAGGTTTAAAAACAAAACATAGATGCACTCTTGAACTTGAATACCTGCAAATTGCTTTTGTGAAACAGTTTCATGGCAGCAAAAGTCTGAAATGCTTTTCAGGGAATTTTTAGAAGTAATAAATGCATGAACTAGTTTCTCAGCATCACTTTGAGACAGGATATTTCTAATTTTAGAGATATTGTACAAATGGAAGAACGCAGTCCTACATATTTGTTTAATATGTGCATTGAAGGACATATCCTGGTCAAAAATGACTCCAAGATTCCTCACAGTGTTACTGGAGGCCAAGGTAATGGCATCCATCCATTCATCCAGATTTCTAGAGCCGAGTACAATAAGGTCAAATTTAGCTGAATTTGGAAGCGGAAAATTAGAGGTCATCCAGGTCTTTATGTCTTTAAGACATTCCTGTATTTTAACTAATTGGTTTGTGTTATCTGGCTTCATGTATAGATAAAGTTGGGTGTCATGTATGCTATGCCTTCTGATGATACTGCCTAAGGGAAGCATGTATAATGTAAACAGAATTGGTCCTAGCACTGAACCCTGTGGAACTCTCCATTTACATGTACAAATTGG